CCCTGTCTCTCATTTAGCATCCATTGCAACGAAATCTCTATATATTTTTTCACAACAAATACTCTCAACTCATTAGTTATTGTTTTCAATTGTTATATAGAGAGTAGTGTTGGGAAGTGTAGGGAAGCGGTAGGAAGTGATTCCGTTATCTATCAGACAGTTTTGAGATTTTCTGTGAGCGCCTATTATTCTTTCAGCTCCGGTCCTCACATACCCAGACATATATACAGTACACGCACTCAGCCTTTCCTAAACTGCTTCACTATTTTTTTCTTAAAAAATTGCCAGAATTTTGTATTCAATATTCTTATTATTATTCTATTCAATACATCTATAATGCAATTCATTTTTATGAGCGCCTATTTTTGTGCACAAATTTTTCTTTCTCTTCTCTACACTACTCTTCATTCAAACGTTGCATTCATTGGAAAACGTTTCGTAAATTCTCAAACAATTTATGCCTCCTTTTGGTGCTTCAGAAATGGATCATCTCTTTTGTCACTGTCGGACACCACTAAACCATTTTGAGCTTTTTTGCCACTTTATGTCTCTCTATCTCACACTCACTGTAATGTACAGTATGTATGTGTCTGTCTGTCCTCTTCCTACTGTCCATTCCCTTCTACTCGTTAGTGATTTATTTTTCTTCTCACTTCTCCTTCACTTTCTCTACAAATCATTTGTTGTTTTCAGATATAAATTTGTTAGACTTTAAAACTTGTGTCCACTTCTATTGTGCTCTCTCTCTCCCTCCCTCTCCTTCTCTGTTTCTCCTATGCATAGAAATACACCAATTGATATGTTTTTATAGATGGCATTCAATCGGTCTAAAAGGACGTGACATTTATGTGTTACGATCTTATCTATAGATTTAATTTTGAAAATTTAATTTCTTTTTTTCCTTCAATTTATTTTTTGTTTGTCTATTATTTATTGCATTGAATTTTAAAGTATATAAATCTTATCCGTTTATTCAGTGTTTCCTTATTTTTATGTCAATTGACTTTTTCTATGTATTGTATATAGAATTTTAGGAAAACCAGTTGTAATAAAATAAATACTTATAATAATTACCGATAATTATATGTGTAGTCTATAAACAGTTTTAATTTTGACAGTATTTTGCGATATATGAATTTTTCGAAGTTAAACGATAATTTCCCATGAATCATTGAATATCTATATTGCACGTTAATGATTCATTAGAAATTATCGTTTAACTTCAAATTATTCATATATTATTTATCATTCCCTCAATGGTCTGAAAATTTTAATAACTTTATGTGAAATAAAATTTATGACATTTTAATACTTCAAATGCAATACATTGTTGTAATAACTATTTGGCTATAAATTAAGATTTCAAACAATATTTTAAGATTATATAAATTTTTATGTGATTATTAAAGCAGAATATTATGAAAATATTGAGTTAAATGATATTCATATGATTGTTGTAGTGAATGGATGTGCTATTAAATGGGACTGTAGTTGAGGTATACGTGCCGATGACATACCTGACTGCCCCTATTATAAGGGGTCGGACGGCATATAATGATGTGATAGTTATGTGTCCATACATTGAGTCGTATATTCAAAATAGATTGTATTTTATATTGTTTTTTATATACCATTATTATATCGTTTCAGTGAATGCTGTGTTAGTTTGCCCTCTCATTAACTATCACAGTCTCTCTCTCTCTCTCTCTCTCTCTCTCTCTCTCTCTCTCCATTTGTAGTAAAACTATTAAAATTATATCTATCTAATGGCAACTGAATATATATTTTTAGTTGAGTCTGTGTTAAAAATGATTGCAATGTATGTATGGTGTGAAGTGTGAATTTGAATGGCATTAGTTATAATATTTGTATTATAATGATTGCATATATTAATGGCTCCGATGTATTCACTGACACTGCACTATGTATTTGATCATGAAATAGTTTTGCATCTCAACTAAACTTATATTTTTTCATAAACTAAATACTTTTGTTCTCTCATAATATGCTTTGATATAAGCTTTTTAATCTCTCTCTCTCTCTCTCTCTCTCTCTCTCTCTCTGCATTTGTAGTAAAACTATTAAAATTATATCTATCTAATGGCAACTGAATATATATTTTTAGTTGAGTCTGTGTTCAAAATGATTGCAATGTATGTATGGTGTGAAGTGTGAATTTGAATGGCATTAGTTATAATATTTGTATTATAATGATTGCATATATTAATGGCTCCGATGTATTCACTGACACTGCACTATGTATTTGAGCCCAAACGAGGTGATAGACGCCCACCAATAACTAGTTTTATATATTTATATAATATTCTCGTCGATATTCACTGCACTCACGCGAGTCCGACATTAAGTCACTAAAAAAAGTGAAAATATTTTGTATGAGCATTGAGTTAAAGTGCAAAACATTCATTCAATACAATAGAGACTCACATATTATTGTGTTCTCTCATCTCAGATATACATAGCTTTTGCTCATAAGTTATTGCATTCAAGAGTTTAGTATTAAAATGAATAAATGAGAGAAAGAGAGAGAGAGAGAGAGAGAGAGAGCACAATAGAAGTGGACACAAGTTTTAAAGTCTAACAAATTTATATCTGAAAACAGAACATTAAAAAAGAGTGATAAAAAATTTCATTTCATTATTTTTTCACTTAATACATCGCCTCAACTGAAAAAATTATCTTTTGTTTGATATGTTGAGAGAGAGAGAGAGAGAGAGAGAGAGAGAGAGAGAATGGATGTGAATGTATGGCTTTCTAATCTCATAAAATTCATGAAATAGTTTTGCATCTCAACTAAACTTATATTTTTTCATAAACTAAATACTTTTGTTCTCTCATAATATGCTTTGATATAAGCTTTTTAATCTCTCTCTCTCTCTCTCTCTCTCTCTCTCAACATATCAAACAAAAGATAATTTTTTCAGTTGAGGCGATGTATTAAGTGAAAAAATAATGAAATGAAATTTTTTATCACTCTTTTTTAATGTTCACTGTCTTTGTGTTAATTTCATTATTGCTTTATATTTAACACAATCTCATATTCTCTACGAATAATACAAACTTTCAGTTCTCTCTAAAATACATATTAAGAGATCAATTCAATATCGATTCATTAAAATACATTATAATGAACACCATTTGGTATAACAGTTAGTAATGGATAAAGTTTTTGCAAGCGTTATAAGAATTAACAATTAACGCATCGATATATTTATGTAGTATTAAATATAGCGCACGGAAACAATGGCAACAACTTTTGTGTTTAGTTTTTGAATTTATATATCAGTATAACTATCCCAAAGTTAGAGAGAGAGAGAGAGAGAGAGAGAGAGAGAATCACAAAACTAAAACTCCTCCTAAATCAATATCAACAGAGGTTTTAGAGCACAGCTATGTTTATATAATACCAGCATTAGTAGCAGTGCATGACTTTCATTCAATTTTCTCTGTTCTCTCTCTCTCTCTCTCTCTCTCTCTCTCTCTCTCTCTCTCTTTAATTTTGTTTAAAATAAATTGATTGAAACGCAACGCAAAGATTTTCTCAAACAAAACTTTTTTCTCAAAATTTGAAAATAGTTTTATTTAATTTAATGCATTTTCTGTTGTGTTTCTCTCGTGTGTGTGTTTTTTGGCCACTCTTACGATTGCATCTAATTTTTGCCATCTTTTCAATTCTCACAATTGTTTCGCAGAGTTTTTCTTGAGTTTTGGCTCCACTTTATGTCCATTTCGTTCTTTAGGGAAATGCTGTCTGAATTCATTTAATCAGTTTTGGTATGACTACCACTCTATGAATAAAAGAAAACATCTCTCTCTCTCTCTCTCTCTCTCTCTCTCTCTCTCTCTCTCTCCCCTATTCACTGTAATCGATATTTATATCTAAAGTATTGGGACTCAATTGGAAACGATTCAAACAATTTTTTCCCGACCGATATCTGTTGTGTCGACTCTTTTTTATATGCCTTGCAATGAGTTTTGATGTGAAATAAGTGTTTAAATGAATTGACGAGAAATGCAGTTAAATAAAAGCACAACAAAACCCGCACTCTTAACAACTTCGACGTCCAATTGTGTGCAAAACTTGAACATGTTTTTACTTAAACTTTTACTAAAATTACTTTTTTTACTCACATTTTCAATCGACAAATATATTCTCTCTCTTAGATTGAAAAATCTAAATTTTTCTCTCTTTCTCTCTCAGATTTATTTAGACTTTTCTTAATAAGAATATTCTCAAAAGCATTGGATTTTTTCTACTCACATAAGAGTTACTTATTTATCACAACGAATGCCATTTGAGTCTTACATATCATATCTCTTGGCAAAAGGTTTTGATCTTTGATTTTGAAATAGTTTTACTTTCACTCAATACGTTTAGGAAAAGAGTCAATGAGAGAGAGAGAGAGAGAGAGAGAGAATTCACATCGAAATTTGTGGCCTCCAGTCATTTAAACTTTTATCTATATTTCACTTCATATCACACTCTCATTCTTAGCCCTAAGAATTTTGATAAAATTGCTTTGAAATGTTAATTGCAATGAGTTTTGTGTCCTCTAAAGACTTTACTGGTTTACTCACATTTACTATACTTTCACTCGTATTTAAAATATTCTTTGAATTTATTATTTGGGCAAAAGATTTATCTAATAAAGTATATGGGAATCGACGCAACCATTTATGGTTATTGCAAATTGAATTTTATTTGTCGTATATTTTATTGATCTCTTGCATTGATTTATGTATTGTTATAAAATATAAATTTCATACCAATTGGTTTTTAGTTGATATTAACTGACACACCAACAGGTATTGCACATAATTAGTAATGATATATGAATGTCATGTGTTTAAGAATTGTTTAAAATATTAGCGTTTGATATGAGGCCAAGAAATGTTATTTTACATTCAATATATAACTCTTATGTTTCATTTGAAACATTTTTGGCCACTTTTAACGGCAGTTGTTTGACGCACACAACATACTAGTGCTGTAGTATAGGGTGTTGTATGGATACAGAGCACAGGGAGTCACTAGAGATGAATTGAATTGTCGTGTATGTGATGGTTGTGTTGTGTTGGATATGGTCTGCAATGACTGCTCTCTTTTCTCTGTGCTCTCGAACTTCGGTTCCCTTTCTTTTGCAGTCTCTGGCGATGAAGGGTTTAATGAGCCATAAGTAAAGCTCTGGTAGATTGCCATTCGCTCGCTCTGAACAACATTGCATCCATAGAGAACATACCAGCAATCATTCTCTCTCTCTCTCTCTCTCTCTCTCTCTCTTCTTTTTCTGGTCGACTCTATTATAGCTTTTTGGATAATAACTTAAATGATCACAAGAATAATCTCATTGCAGATAAATATTCTGTATATTCTTTGTGTATACGGCTCTCGACTTACTTTCCATTACTTTCGACTCTTTTTTATCGATACACAAAGTCTTGTGGCGAAGGGATGTGTTGGTAGAGCTCCCTCTTGCGTACATACCATTCCCTCTCCGGTGCCAATGTCTGGATGTGCTATATATACACACATGACATGAGAAGCACTTTTGAAAATTATGAAACTTAAACATTATATTATTTGATAAAATAATCAAAAAACAATTAGATATACGGAACATGAAAATGATTGATAATACAGATGTTATCGTTATTTTGTAGATTAAATTTTTTATATTCTCTTCAATGTATGTCTCGTATGACATATAAAACGCTTAAACGATTCTGTATTCCGTATTTATATTAAGTTAATACAGTTTTGACAGTTTTAGGCGCAAAATATTCTCATATATATGTGTGTTGTTATACCCAAAAATGATAACACATTACTATATCAATAGCTGTACACAATTTATCACAAGCAAACCTCTTGAGGAGATACTCCTGTCATCCATTGACACAATACTCGTCCATCTTTGAAGTTGATGTTTAGGTTGAGAGAGAGAGAGAGAGAGAGAGAGAGAGAGAGAGAGAGACGTGGGCTTTAGGTTAATGTTACACACGCTGTATAATAGTTTTACGACACTATTCTCCAGATGTGTCTCTCATTCACAATCCGTTTTACTGCTAAAGACTTATTGAAAACCATTTATTAAATCTCTCGGTCATAGCTGTTGAGCACAGAATTGAATTAATTCATTCACTCATTCTATGTCTCAATTCATAACATTATTATCTATTTTTTGCTCAAAACAAAAAAGTCATATTAATGTTTGTTGTATTTCTAATATCTATACTATTAAAGCGATTCTAAACTTAAATTGAATTTTTCCCCAAAAGTTGAACATTTTTTCAACTATTTTGCGATCATTTATTACTCGAAAATAAGGAGAAAAAAGTTTTGTGTCTTTCGTTTTATACAATGAAAAATGTTACGATGAATGTCTTGTTTTACTATCAAATGTTTAGAGGTTTACAATCGACCAGTTCTTCTCAGCCCCTGACAAACATCTCGGGCCATAACGTGTGTGTGTTATCTGTTTTAACAGTACTCTCCATCAAGAGATCGCATGCCATCTCCCACTCTATCCCAACATCACAAGCTGTCTGTCCGTCTCCTCTCATTTGATTAATAGCCGAGAATGCAATCCAAGCGCTGGTGTTCTCTACACTACAGTTCAGTGCCAGACGTGCGGCCAAAACACACCATTCATTGATGTCTTATACTCTCGTATATTCATCAGCAAAGACTATGCACTCCTTCTTTGCTTATGAATTGAGTCGACGACTAGGAATGTATGGCTTGTTATCACTCACTCACTCCCTCTCTGTCTATCTATGCGATCCTTTTCCTCAATTTTGGTGATGGACTTCACTTTTGTGGTTCATTTATTTATTACTGAGACATACATTGATCACCGATGCACTGATTGATTGATTTACTCGCCTCTCTCTCCCTCTCCCCCTCTTTCCACGTCTGTCTTCACTCACTCTCGACTGTGTTTTTCAGTATTTATTTCCACATTTTAAAAATAAGTGTGAAATATAATGAACAGGCATTTGGTCACAGATTTTAAGCGGCGGTAAAATATTTGCCATTCGTTTTGAACGCAAAAAATGTGTTGATATTCATTATACAAGACATCGCGAGTCTCCGACTATAATGAAACTCATTGATGAAAATTGTGTCTCAATTCTTGAGTGCAATTGAGTTTATTATCGCTTAAATAGTCGTTAATTTTGCAATTATTTTCTTATTTACCCTTTTTTTATTAACCCGTCGTTTATGTTTGCGATTCCTTGTAATGAACGATAAAATTCAAACGACTCGTTAAAGAGAGTGTATTTTGTGAGACAATTATTTTCTTATTATAATGAAAAACAGTGAAAAGAGTTTTTAAATATAGATTTATAATACATTGACGGGAAAATACTGGGGGTTTACGACTCATATGCAACTCATTTGCAAATATTAAATATTTTTTATGTGATATTTACTCTCTCCCTCACTCTCTCCCCATCCATTCAATATGTTGTATAATTTTTACTCTATGTGTTAGCAATCAGTTATAAAAATTTAATCAAAACATTATTATTATAGCATTTTTTATCGACGTTTTTGTAGGCTTTTTTCATTCATAATATATCAATATATAATATTTTGCATCTCATAAACAGTTGTATACAAGTGATCAATAAGCCATTATGGAGAGAGAGAGAGAGAGAGAGAGAGAGAGATCTAATTTAATAAATAAACATGGTGGGAATAATAAAATATATAATATCATCACTATTAGAATCATTAATTTAATATTTCTATCATCTTTCATAAATTTCCACAAAATATTTGACAAAAAAACTAATCA